TTGGCTTTCCTTGAAGATTTTTTAGACAAAATTGTTATTGGTGACGAAACATGGGTGGCCTACGTCACACCAGAATCGAAACAACAGTCCATGGAATGGCGACATTCATCATCACCCAAAACAGTGAAGTTTAAGCAAACAATTTCTGCCCGGAAAATCATGTGCACAGTTTTTTGGGACAGAAAAGGAGTATTGCTAGTGGAGTTTCTGCCTCGTAATGAAACAATCAATGCAGCATCTTATTGTGAGACATTGAACAATCTGCGCCGTGCAATTCAAAACAAAAGACGTGGCAAGTTGAGTAAGGGTATTGTTTTGCTGCATGACAATGCCCGTCCACATGTGGCTAATCGGACCAAAGATCTCATCAAATCTTTTAAATGGGAAACTCTAGATCATCCTCCATACAGCCCTGATCTGGCGCCCAGTGACTACCATTTATTCCTGCACTTGAAGAAACACCTGGGCGGTCAGCGTCTTCAAGACGATAACGAAGTCAAAACAGTTGTGATACAGTGGTTAACCAGTCAGGCGGTAGAATTTTATGAGGAGGGTATTGAAAAACTGGTGCCACGTTATGACAAGTGCCTCAATATTCACGGAAATTATGTAGAAAAGTAGATTAAGGTACAGGCTTTCATGTAAAAATAAAATTATTGCGATATCTTTGCACGTTTTTTTTTAATTCCAAAACGGTACTTACTTAAAAAACATGCCTCGTAGTTTTCGTCTATTTCCTATAGAAAAGGGTGTTTCCCTTTAAAAGCGTCCAATTTGACTCACCCTGTACGTAGTAGTTCTATGTCCAGGGAATATTGTGATACCCTGTATATTTTTCGGATTTATAGATAATTATGTTGTGATTATTAGAATATTTATTTATATAGAGGTTTTTTTATAGAGGCAAGAGCACTAATTATTATTCATTTGTTTTTATTACTAGTAAGAAATATCTTATTTCAAAATATCTTTGTTTATAAAACTTTTTCTACACATGTTTAGAAAAAATGCGCAAAATATATTTTAAGCTTTTCATTCAGAACCTCAAAAAAAATGGAATAAATTAGTGGTTTCAATTAGCATATATGTTTGTTCCTCTTATTTCAATGTAGATATTCCAACTTATTACTAAACCAAACCAAACCCCAAAATTAATAGTAGTACTTTTCATTTAGAAGAAAACTTTTACAAATTTTTATAACTATTTCCACAAATTATTAAGTTAAGTGTCATTTTTTGGACATTGATTATTATCTGTCAGGAGAAATTGTGGTTAGAAATAATTTATTTTTTGTTTTATAAGCCAATATTAGATTTCTTCTGTTGATACAACTGACTACAGCAAGCTGCTGATAGGATATTCTGCCGTACGATATTAAAAAACTATTAATTAATTTCTAAAGTCTACTTACAACAAATTAGTGATATTTAATATTTAAAATTAGTAGTGTAAAATATACCATACGATCGAAAAAAAGAGCGTCAGAGACGGCTGGGGAGTGACAATTGATGATAATTTTGGCGAGGTCGAGCCATTCAAGACGTCATTTATTTAGCCCGTACTTCTTCTATTTTGTTACAAAGTTTTGTACTAGCAGTACAAAGTTCTGTCTAGCAGTACAGTCTAAGTTTTGTACTAGCAGTTAGCCTTATAGGAAGGGTGTCATTTATTTTTTTATATGGAGTATATGAGAAATTCGAGAAAAAGGATTTTTTTTAAATAGATTTGTATGTCTGGAAACGGTTCTATCCTTTTTTAATATTTCTATAATTAGTTACCTACTAATTATTAGTAGATTAAGTTATGTATTTTTTTTTAGTAAATGAGGTCTACTGGATCTGTCTATGAAAGAAATTTTAAGAATGCAGACACAATATTGGAGTATGAGCAATTTACTATAAAACACATTTAAATAAAAAGCTATATATTTTTTAGATCGCTACCTATATTCACGCGTCAGAGTCCCACTCATTTCATTACGTTGGCCACTTGCAAATTTGTGGAATTTTTACTAACGGGATGCATCGTCTAATTTTTGTACGACAAAGATGAATTTAAAACGATAGTAGACCAAGCTTGAAAAACAGTTGTTATCGTTAAAATAGTTTGTAGTAGAAATGATCAGAAACGAGAATGATTCTGAAAAGTTGCTATGCTCTCTAAAAGTGGCCTCGTCCATCAATTATAGACAAATTTGAAAGATGGAAAAACCTGTATGAGATTATCGATCAGCCTCATACAGCAGCTAACATCCCTGATTCAAAAAATCCTTGATGTTTAAAAGAGGAGATAAGAAACTGCCCTCAAACTATAGAGGCATAAATCTTCTAAGCACTACATTAGAACTTACAACAAAAGTGATAACAACCAAAATTAACGACTTAACATGCTTAGCAAGGTTTCAGATCGGGCAGATCATGCACAGACGCGGTTTTTGTCATAAGACAGATAAGAGAAAAATCAATCGAATATAATAAACCAGCTTATATGTGTTTTATTGACTTAGAAAAAGCGTTCGACCGTGTGCAGCTAAGAGACGTTGTACACCGTCTTTACAATTGGCAAATCCCACACAACCTCGTTTAAACCATAGAAAATATATGAAGCGAACCAAATTCAAGCCAAAATTAACGGGGTCCTGACCGAACCAATAAATGTAGGCCGTGGTCAAGGATACTATAGAGATAAGGATAGTTCGATTCCTATCTTCCTGCACTGTCAGTTTTTTTACGTCATCTACTGACCGAGTTGAAGTTGGCGCTAAAGATTTTAGACAGTGACAGTTATTTTTGCATTTGACGGACGAGCGCACAGTGCGTTGGAAGATAAATTTAGCGGGACAAAAGCGTTTGGTTAGAAATAAGCCAAAAAATGTGTACTGATAAGAATAAATAGTAGACATTCCAATTGATACAAAAATGCATGAATATTCTTTGTATTTCGATAAACTTTTATCAACCAAATTTGGTCGTTTTCTACTCAGCAGGGCAGATATCATACGAAAACAAAATATTTACAATTGCTTATATATTTTATTAGAAAGCCAAATTATGTTGAAGATTGCCAAAGGTATGTACTTTTCTACTGTACGTATATTATTTGTTAAAATCCTTCGTGCCTTTGTTCTGCAGATATCAAACTTTCACTTTTTTTTCAAATATCGATATATTGAATGATGTAGATCTTTTGAGTTACCAATAGTTACCAACACAGGTAGTCACAGTCACAGGTAGTTCAAGCTTAACAGGTGAATGCCCAAAAAGATTCATTTCAATCGGATAGTATAAAAACAAAAAAACTCCATCAAAAGGCACTGAGTTTAAAAATTTTTCTTAGGTACTTACTATATATGAATTTACAATTACCGAGTGTTAAAATTAAAATTAAAATATCTATCTTATTTATTATTTTCAAAATAAAATATATTTTTTTAAAATAAATTATGGAGGGTGTCACAAGATTACAAATTAATTAAAAAAAAAACTGCTAAAGAGTTTTTTGATATCATAATTTTAGGTATTTGGCAATAGTTTACAATACGGTTTTTGTGTGTCATGTACGAACAATATCATAGTTTTATTATCTTGTATTTATTTATTAATAAATTAAGTTGTTAATAAATAAATAAATTTAACCATATAGTTGCTATATATTAGACCATTTGCTACGTTCTTAGATTTTAAGTCCCAAACATTGCTCTTGAGATTTTGTCCCGCTAGAATAACCATCCGCCGCACTGTGGAGCGCTGGTCAGCGCGTGACGTAGCATTCCACGGCGACTACGACAGCGGCAATTTGACGCGATCGAACAGTCCTTTAGAATATATACAGTCCTTGGGCCGTGGTATCCGACAAGGTGACTCCCTGAGCCCTCTTATTTTCAACATCATTATGAAAGAAATAATAGGAAAGGTACGTTTACTGAAGGGATACAGTATGGGCGACCAGGAAACTACTACTCTGTGCTATGCCGTCGAGGCCGGCGCCGTGCCGTATTGGTAGCTGAAAATGAGGACGATCTACAGCGTTTAATTATTACATCGATTTAACTACACTGGCAAATCACTTAATATGATAATATCGACCCAGAAAACTAAATGCATGACGACATCAAAAGTACCACTAAGATGCAAACTGGAAGTCGAGGGCAATGTCATCCAGCAAGAAATGAAGTTTAAGTATCTAGGCATAGAAATCTCAGGATATGGTGATGTAGAGGCGGAGATGCCAGAACGGACAACGAAGGCAACCAGAATAGCAGGATGCCTGAATGACACAATATGGCGAAATAAAAACATCGAGGTGGAAACTAAACCACAAGGCAACGGTAGGACCAATAATGACATACATTGCAGAAACTCGTTCTGTTACAGCGGAAACTAAACAACTACTAGAGACAACCGAAATGAGAGTACTACGCAGAATAGCTGAAAAGACGCTTCTGGACAGGGACAAAAATGAAAGCTTAAGAAGAGCATGCCAGGTGGAAAATTTAAACGAATGGGTACTCAGCAGAAAAGAAGAATGAAACGAGCATATCAGCAGAATGGACCACAGAAGGATAGTGAGAGTTGCACGCGACAAATCACCGCTAGGTCGCAGAAGTTTAGGACGTCCACGAACACGATGGAGCGACAACTTGTCAGTCTGACCGGTAAAGGCGACGAAACCAAACAGGCGATTCGCCTAGTATGAAGAAGAAAGAAAAAGAAGAAGAAGAGATTAACGATGACGATACAGATGATGAGTAGGAGTCGCATATTGACATTAATTAAGCTAGAGGGTTATATTTATGTTTTTTTTTAAATAAATGACGCGGTTTTTTTCGATTGTATGGTATTAATTGTAGTTGGATTTGATTTAACATTGAGAATGATCGTAAACTGTTAAGCATAAGATACAAATAAATTCACTAATTTGTCTCCACTAATTTCGAGATTCTGAAAGAAGCATCAAATTTTATTTTCTACTAACGACTTTTTCCTATTCCCACATGCAGAAGGGAGTGCGCGACCTCTATTCCCCCAATGGTCCCACCACGTCTATCCCCAATTCCTTCCCGGTTCCCACCCCAACGCCGTGTCGCACCACGTGTACATGCGACACCGGCACCACTCCTACGCCAAACACAATCACTACAACCTCAACAACAATCACCATTCCCACTATCACAACCACAAAATCGATCACCGTTACCACAGAAATTCTATGGGTGGTAGAACAGGTAAATCACTCGCCCCCTTTGATGTCGTATTTTATTTTATTTCTTACTGAATTAATATAAGTTTATATCGTCTTGACTGTATTTGTATTGTATTTACTAAGATTGGGTCCCAGTTCTACAAACTTTTCCTAGAAAAAGCAGTACATTTCACTCTCAGGACTCAACCTTTTAAAATAGGTTGTTATATCTGAGAGTGATATGTTACCTAGGTCTGATAGGTCCAGCTTGGTTTTGCCAAACACCTCAAACCAACAACGTGCTACATGGTTTCGTCTAGTAGTGGGAACTATCGAATGAATACTATCGAAACATTCGATAGTTGCAATTCATTCGAATAATTCGATAGTTAGTAAGAAAACATTCGTTGAAAACTATTCGAATAAAAATTATCGAATAGATCCGTCATCTGCCTTGAAATATTGTATTCTAGTAATTCGGCAGCAAAAACCATTCATTTATAAAATTCATTCATTTATAAAATTCATTCATTTATGAAATTCATTTATTCGTCAGGATCGATTATAATAAAATATTAACTGAATTTTAGTTGTCGTCCGGCGACGTAGGTTTTTTTCCGAGAAAGCGGTCGGTGGCAATGCTATGAAAGAAGCCGGCATCTTTTGGTGGAGTCATATATAGATAAGGACACATTATTTTTTTTATTGAGGTGCTAGTATTTACACAGAAAATACATTATGAAGGGCGCTGTTGCCATATTTTTTGTATTAGTTGATATTAGCAAAGAATATTATTGTTTGGCTTTAGTTAGTTAGGTATAGTATGTCTATATATTCTGCATTTTTTATTAATATTCTGTTGTTACACTGCAATAATACTTGTTATTTTGGATGTAGGAAAATTATTTTTAATGTTTTTAAGCAAAGACTGGTTTAATAAATAATAATAACAGTAATAATTTGTTATACCTATTAACAACAAAATTTAAAATCATTTAATATAAATATTTTTTTTAAGTAGTAGCAAAATATAAACAACAAATTAGATGTCAAAATTATTTATATTAGATCCTATTTAAAAATAATATAGTCTCTAATTTTTCTGGCAACGTTGGTTTATTAAATAATAATAATTGCAGAACTAATTTGTTTGGTTGTTTAACAACAAATTTTAAAATCATGAAATATAAACATTTATTAATTTTCTAAGCAAGCGGTGTAATGGAAGGAAAATATAAATAAAAAATTAGAAATCAAAATTATTTATATTAGGTGCTTTATATTACTATTTAAAAATTATATTTACTTTTACTGGCATTTACTTTAAAAAATAAATGAAATATTTCTTCGCAAAAACTACATGTAAGAGAATTAGCATAAACAAAATACAAACATCGTTAACTTTTTTTTTAAATTGGCACGTGTAAAACTTTCATTTTAATTTTCTCACCCCATAGTTTGAGTTCGATAACCATTTACTTAACCACATTACTTTAATATGATTATTAAGTTCAACTAATTCATATTATTAAAACATCTAAAATACAAATATGTACTTTTAAAATTAATTTAAGTTCATCTCATCTCTCTTAAAAATTGCTACTTCTCAAAATTTCCCATTAAAAAATAGACCATATACCATATAAAATTAAATAATTGAAAGATCGGACTACGGAAAACCACACAACTTTTCGGAAAAATTTTGACCACCTGCACATGCACACAATCGTCAATAAATAAAATTAAAAAATAACTACTATTTTAGTATTTTAACTATTTTAGTAAACGCAAAAATAGCACAGTATTTATACGGTGAAGTTATAAAAATTTGGAAGAACTAATAATGCACTGACGCATACAAAAATCAAACGAATACTAAATTTCATTTATCAAAAGCATTCGATAGTCGTGGCTCAATGATAACCATTTAGTCGCACGGCGAGGTTGTCACATGCTTTAGTTTACAAATGAATGAATGATTTTATTCGAATAAAACCATTCGATAGTTGAAATCATTCATTCATTAACCATTCGATAGTCTAATTCATTCGATAGTTCCCATCGCTAGTTTCGTCATCTTCCATACATACCCATACAGCACATCAAATCACATTTACGATATGTTTACATTATTATATGTGTAACGTAGGGTGATACAATTCCCCCGATGTAAATATGATACGTTTACACATTGTAGTTCAACACGTATGCACAAAGGTTAAACGTCCGCCTCACAATGTAGCCACAGTATAGCATTTACGTATACACAAAGTAAGGGATACACAGTGTGCCGTAGGATACACAGTGCTTGTGTATTACGTTTAAACTCTGTTTACACATTGCAGTTGTGACTACTGCGTGTATACGTATGTATTGTGCTTCGTATATACATCTTGTGCTAGATAAAACTACTTCTTATGAACGAATTTAGGAAATAATACAAGTTTTGATGCCTAACTTTTCGTTCTTTTTAAGAAATATTTATTCAATAATACCAATTATATCTTTTTAGAACAAAAATTAGGGAGGCAAAACTTTGTATTTTCCAAAAGTATCTCGATCGTAAGTTCAAGGGAAGTAGCCTTAAAATTGTTCCATTTTTGTTTTGTATTAAATGTACCATTTTTTTTCCATAAAATGAATTAAGTGGTTAAAAATAAAATTCTTATATTTCTTTATATCATGGAACGCAATAGCGCAAATAACACAATAATAATAATTATTTACACTGCAGAAACCAGAACTAAGAAAACACTGTAAAAGAACAGAATTTGTATCAAAATGTATTAAAAATATAAGTACCTATAGTATAACAACATACTAAAATGGTAAACACTGGTATATCGCCACGATTTGGTGGACCTCGTTTAGTCATTTTTTTCTTCTCTTTTCCCTCCAAGCAGTTGATTTGTTAGCATAGTTATTCATCGAGCACTCTGTTGGACTTTGTTGTATTTTATTTCCAGATTAACAATCTCACCCTTAAAATTTATATGAAACTGATTATTGAATATTAAACATATCTGTATATTGATCCATCAATAACTTACCGAATATCAGTGTATTCTTTGAAGTGTTTAAATCTTTCTTTCTCTGGTCCATTTAGATTTTTATTATTTCCAAATTAAAAAAAATTATATTGCAGAGCTAACCTCTTTATCATTATACGAGAATATTTGGAGCTTTCATTCATTGGAGTCAAAATTTGGTAAATATCGAGTAAGGGAAGAGTCGCTGCTATAATATTAATAATACTCTTAGGAAGGTGTAACAAGGTAATTAAAAACTTGTGCTTACCTTAAAATCTCTTTTAAACTACACACAAACAGAACCTTTATATAGAGCTTCCGAATGATAAAACAATAATGGCTGCTAACACATACCACTCCTAGAAAAGAGAAAGGAGAGAGAACACATAAGATACACTTGGTCGGTGTGTCTACGCTGAGGCTATCCGCGCGTGCGCACACCTTCATTTCATGCTAGAATGTAGACACAGCAGTACACTATTACAAAGTGTCTATATAGAAATTTATATTATGTGTATACGTCCAATTTTTACAAGGTGTGTACTATAGGCACAACTATGGTACGAAGTATCACACATACATATGACATATACATTGTATGTCTCATATACCGACGTCAGATTTCATCATTTTAATAATTATTTGTTACGTTACAAAAAACTCTTTAGAATCTTGAGTGCATACGGTATACAACTAGTAAACACTGTATCACACAATTCTATCAATATAAACCTGCGTGTATCTCATATGTATATGTTAGAACTAGATGAACACTTACGTTCGCTTTAACATATTTGGTTTCTCATGTGTCTCCCTTGTAGAAACGTAATTTCATTTGGACGTCCCAACCTCTGCAGGTGTAATCTTAGTCTGCTGTAGCCCGTGTATACCGCGGTGAGGGTACACTCTCCATTCCTGCCGATGTTTAAGAGTTCTCATGTTGTTTCGCGTGTTGTTCATGTTATTTCGCGTTTGGATGGCCCTGCGAAGATTCTCTTGCCATGTTCCATTCCGGGACTGTCATTCCAGTCCCGAAACGTCGCGTCATGTCGCTAACCCATTCACAAAGCCGGTCTCTTACGATAATTTTTAAGTCTCGGTTCCGATCGACAATATTTTTCTGTCCCAACCATTGAAGGTATTTTTTATATTCATTTTGGAAGATTCACTTTTAGGTGGAGCCTTGTCGTGCTTTTTCAGTTTTTTTTAATATCTCGTCCATTTTAATGGAAACGCACTCGAACGTGTACGGAATTCGTGCGAAAGGCGTTTTTTTTTGACAAAAAACTGAACTCGATTAACAACACCCGTCAGTTTATAAACAGGCCATTTAATTAATAGTAACCTGGCAATAAACAAAGTTCCTACCAGCAGCATTAATACAAATATACCGGTACATTGATAAATACAACATTTGTGTTGTTTTCAAATGGGAGAAAATATACTAAATTCAGTAAGAAATAAAATTGTCTATGTACCACGGGAATTATAAAGTGTTAATAATCTCGGGCAATTATAGTATACAGAAACTTTGCCTTCAGTTATTTATAATTTCCTTGATACATAATAATCAACTATTTAATTTGTCTATTTGTTCCTTGCACGCTATTTGTTTCACATGTGTAAAAATGTATTTTTGTTTTTGTATTAATATAAGGTTCTTTAAGACTAAGTTCAGCATGATTTATTTTATTTTGATTAAATGTAAAATTATCAATATTGTATAGAATGATCATTCCCTAAAAAAACTAAGGAATGAAAATATCATCAAATTTTTGATAATACTAATGTTATTAACTAATTATAAAACATAGATATGAAATATTCCGGTCTTCTTTTGGTAGTCCTAGTATGCTACTTTCAAATGTTTTCAAAAATTGTTCAAATTACAAGGGTTGTAGAATGTTTAGGAGGGGAGTTAATCACCACGACCTAATTAGTAGGGTTGAAAAAATTAAATTTCTAAAAGTACGTAAGATTTCAAACAAATTTTAAAATTTTCATAATTTTTTCACTATATTTATTATGTTTCTATTTTTCTACAGTGTGACCCACTCAAGACCGGGCACCCTCCATAAAATCTGTGTTTATAGTCCGATTTTGATGATTTTTTTTTCAAATATAAAGTTTCAAAAAATGTACTTTAGGGCTCAATGTCATGTTATTTCACAAAAAACAAGGCCTACTTAATAAAGTTTTTGTGGTGAAAAATTTTATTAAGTTAAATTTTATTAAATCGCTAATCATATTAGCGATTTTTTTTCAAAAAATTTGAGTACACCCCTACATTCGGCATCCCCCAAAACAGTTCTGTACCAAATTTCGTTTAAAAATATTAATTATTAATAATTCTGCAGTTAAATTAAATAATTCCCTATTTTTGCCAATTTAACGATGAGTTATCACGTAACCCTTGAAAAAAAACAATCCACGACAACGAGTTTTATTACAAACAATGATAAAAATACTACAAGCAACACAATAACCGAATAATAAGTTAAACATATTCAAATAATTCTAGTTGCTTCTACCAGCCCTCCATTCAGTTCAATACATTTGTCGCATCTTTTTCTTAGATTAACAGTTACATTCCTAAGCTGCTGTGGTGTAATATTTGCAGAAGCCTCTGTAATTCTAATACGTAATTCATCTACAGATTGAGGTCTAGATTTGTAAACTTGTTGCTTTAAGAAACCCCAAAGAAAGAAATCAAGGGGTGTTAGGTCCGGGGATCTCGGTGGCCACTCAATTAGCGAGCTATTTCGACTCTATCCACTTATTTTCAAAATTTTCATTTAACCATTCCCTGACAACTGCCGCGTTATGCACAGGTGATCCGTCCAATTGAAATTTTAAATTCAAACGGGTTTGGCATGGTAAATTATGTATTGCATCCCAAAAGTCATTAATCAGAAAATTCAAAAACGTTGGACTATTCAAATTTCTCTCAAAAAAATATGGACCAATGATTCTATCATCAAGTATGCCACACCACACATTTAATTTCTGAGAATACTGTCTTCTTGTATTGATCACCCATTCAGGGTTTTCGACTGCCCAGAATCGCGAATTTTGAGAGGATACTACTCCGTTTGTACTAAATGTTGCCTCATCACTAAATAAAATTTCTTTTAAGAAATTTCTATTATTTAAATACTCTGCTTGAGCCCATAAGCAGAATTCTAATCGTCTAACATCATCTCCGTTTTCCAAAGTGTGTAAAATCTTTGGTTTAAAGGGTTTAACTTTATTAGTTCGCAAACATCTCCTAATATTTTCCCTTGGTATATCCAAATCAACACTGGCGCCTCTAATGCTTGCACGAGGATTGTTACGAAAATATTCTAATATTTCCTCATTCCGCCTATTTATTCGATGTTCCGGCCTTCTGTTTTTTAGTAAGTATTTTGACACACAACCAGTTTCATTAAAAACTCTATTTATTCGTTGAACCGTGCTTCTACTTACTGCAGGTCTGTCGGGATGTCTGTTGTTAAATTCTCTGGCAGCTTCTCCTGCTTGAAGATAGTTATCACCCACTAAACGAATAATTTCAATTTTATCCCTAATATTTAATTGTTCCATAATGCAAATAATATTTCTTGATACAACACTTTTCTGCGTGCTATTAAATTAATATTCAATTCTACGCTGCAAGAATTGACAGCTAATAAAACCCATTGTTGTGGATTGTTTTTTTCAAGGGTTACGTGATAACTCATCGTTAAATTGGCAAAAATAGGGAATTATTTAATTTAACTGCAGAATTATTAATAATTAATATTTTTAAACGAAATTTGGTACAGAATGTTTTGGGGGATGCCGAATGTAGGGGTGTACTCAAATTTTTGAAAAAAAATCGCTAATATGATTTTTGCAAATTTTTCACCACAAAAACTTTATTAAGTAGGCCTTGTTTTTTGTGAAATAACATGACATTGAGCCCTAAAGTACATTTTTTGAAACTTTATATTTGAAAAAAAAATCATCAAAATCGGACTATAAACACAGATTTTATGGAGGGTGCCCGGTCTTGAGTGGGTCACACTGTATGTACCCTGAAATTGAGTCAAAAGTAGTCAAAATGGCCAATTTTTCGATATTTTCCTTACATAGTCATGGAAATTGGTAATTTTGATCCTATCACCGATTTTTATAAAACTACTGTTATTTACTAATTAGAATGTATAAAAAAAAGAAAATATAGACCAATGTGAGACCACAATGAAGATAGAACATAGAATCAGTAAAAATCATTTTTTCATTTTTATGAATGTTTGGTAGAATACCTTTTTTTAGTTAGTCCTAATGATATACATATATTGTCCCTTTGAAAGTTACTTTTATTTTTACTATTATTCTTATATATAACCTGTAGTTTACTCAATATCCAGCTAAACATCTTGTTGCGGATTTCTTTGAAGTTTGTAGACTATGATATGTTTCTCTCACTCTAATATACGTAGAGACCTATGATATAATATACCCCTGAGGTGACATGCGAACTCTCAAATTTCTGTATAGTCTGTTCAATAATGGGATTCATGACATTTTTTGGATGTCGTCTGTCGAAATCCTCCCTGATTCTTGGACAGACTATAGAGATATCCAGCTGGGTGTTGAAGAAGCTATGCTCGAACTATACGAATTGAACTAATCCTGTTTGAATTTAGCTCCTAGAGCTCTGCACCATCATAACCAAGAAGATGGCGACTATGACGTCATTACCGCCTACGTTATGGACGATACCAATTCTCTGAATCAAGAAAACGAGTTAAATTCTGGTCCAGCTTCAATTAAGGTAAAAACATTACTTAATATTTTTTTGAATGAGAGTGGTGTGAAGTAATAGTTTAACAAAATTTGGACTGATTTTTATTTTTAACTTTTGAATGTAGTGCTAGAATATAAAATAATATAGAATATAGAATAATGTAAATATTTTTAAATGTGTTTCTGATCTGAGTAATTAAGTAAAATTTTAGTTCGTATAGATTTTCCTAACAAAATTTATGCAATGAACTAAAATTGTTACTTATATTCTGTTGTAAATATTTAATATTTAAATTGTTTTGTTATAGAAATAAAGCACTTCGCAGCTATTAGCACAAAATTGTCTTTACAGGATGTAAATTTTGCTTTCTATTATGTTTAATGAAAAATAATAATATGATAAATAATCTGAATCACTGTCCAAAGAACAACTAACATTATTCCCAAAAATGATGTGTCTAGGACTAGCGAGAATTTGCAATGCATTACAACTAAGGGTGTCCAAACCAAAGACATCTAAATGGGTAGAGAGAACACTCCATTCATAAAACTCAATATTTTAGAATCATACATGGTTTGACACTTTTATGAGAGTTAAAAAGAGGTGGGTACATAAATATGACAAGACGGTTGAGTTTCGTCCTTGCTTCATCTATCTTTCTATCATTTGGCTCTATCAGTAGCGTGACGATCAATCCGTGGTATCTAACTAGCGTGACGTCATAAATCTCGCTGCGAGGCTGTTCTATTAGAGACGGCATTGGTTTGATATTTAGAAATGTCAAAGGCTGATGACATTTTACTTTTGTCAATTATGACATTTTGCGTTGATTTTTGCAAGAAGAGGAAGAAGTGTCACTTGTTTTATTATTTTTCTTTTCTATTTCACGAAAGTAAAAAGAGTTACCTATCTGATTCGTTCAGGCACTCATTTTAAAGAATATCAGTAACTTTTTTGATAGAGGGATTTTATATTTGCCATGTTGGTAAAAAATATCGGTCAAAATTCAAAGTTATTCATTTTATAGACTATACTACTAATTTTAGCGACCCACGTTGGGCGCCATATAATGTGGCTTGTGTTTTGGGATTTATCATATCTTTTAGTTCTCAGCCGCAAGGATAGTTTGAGTCTTCAAATTTTGATAGTAAAATTTGACTAGTAGATAAAAATTAGAAACCAAATAACTATTTCAAACAATTTCTTTGGATAGATGGCTTTTATATTTGCCATATTGGTAAAAAATAACGGTCAAAATTCAAAATTATTCATTTTATAGACTATATCAGAGATTAAGAAATTATACTGTGGGAACATTTGCGGTGAAAAGGCAGTTCTAAAAAGTTTTCGAAAAATATACAGGGACATTTAAAAGAAAATGTACGATTTTCAACATCTTTTTTTAGCGAAAAAAAAACTCATAGACGTGTTGACCACTCTTGAAAATATTTGCACTCACCCTGTATATGATTGTAACACCATTTTTGGGACAACACATCATTTTTGGGATGTATTAATTTTTCTTCTTCTTTATGTTGGTTTGTGGTGTTTTCTAATACTCTCCGGAATGTCACTAACTGTCAAACTAACCTGCTGCTTTGCCGTTGCGGCGTTCCTCCGTAACTAGGTAAACGCTAGACAGCGCCCCTCTTTGGGACATGGGTTTACTGTAGATTACACTTTGGACGGGATAAGGCATGCTCGAGGTTGTAACAGTGCTCATGTTATAAAAAAGGTAATGCATCAATTAGGAGTTAGTTAGCTAATTAACCAGCAATAACATTGTAGTGTAGTTAAGCTCATTAATTTGGACATAGTCCATAAGAAATAGATTTAATAGATACCGGGTTATGCGTCGCCTCAGGACATAGGAAATCACCTCAGGACATAGGAAATAGGAAATAATTAAGGGTGTGGTTTATTGGCTCCTCTATTGATTTTAAAAGAAAGTTTTAGTGCCATTCTTTAAAGTCCTGGATTAGAATAGGACATAATCATTGCCTGGAAATTTATATGATGAAATTTTGGCAAAATAATTTAATATTAACTAGACGGTCCCTAGTGGTAGGTAAAGTAATTTTTAGAGGTTACTAGTTAATTTGGTAGCCTAGAAAATACATGTAATGTCCTTTAAATGTATTTGACATAATCATAGATAAAGGAAATAAATTTAGATTGGAATGCCCGTCAAAATTTTTGGTCGCGAAATTGTTTTGGGTCGCGACCGTTGTATGCGATCTGGCGCTGGTATACCGGTTGCTAAGAACAACCGCAAACAAATACAGAAATAATTTTCTCTTGTCCATATCTCTTGTCAAAGTCAGAATCTTCAAAAATTATAAAATCTTTCAAAATCTAAACCGCTCTCATTGAAAAAATTCCGAAAAGCGTTTAAAGCGTCCATTTTCAAAGTAATTATTGCTATCTTGTGAGTTTAATTTAAGTTTTATTTATTCAAACTCTTGATAATTGTGAAAAAGTGACATTAAAAACTTAAAAAGCTGTGCTGTGAACTGTGAACATAGACAAACAAATGAAAAGAGACTGGCAAATTAAATGGCAAAGAGAGGGACAACGTTCCCGTAGCGCAACTCAGAACGCAAAATTTCGTTCTATTCATGTTGATCTGCGCATTGCGTCTATTGGGCCCACTATCTCATTCTAATATAACAAGAGAAAAGGAAGCAGCCATATAAAACGTAATTTCTAAATAGAAATTAGAACAATCGCCTTTCGTTTTCGTCATCATGACAACCAAGATGACAACATCATGACAATTCGTCATGTTTGTTAATTTTTCTTTTGGTGATTTACCTTTTTTTCTACACTCTCCATTTTATTGACCTATGAATATGGATAAGGAACAAATTCCTTTGTTCCATATAGGTATTTATATTAAAATTATATAAGAGTTTCTTGCCTTGAACTGCTAATATAGAAATTAATTCCACGCTGTGTTCGACACAATGTGGATCAACCTGCTCTCACTACCGGTTTCGGGGCCCTACCCCATCATCAGGTGAGCTTGGGTCATTTCCACAAAATGTCGAGCACAGCGCAGAGTATATAAATACGACTTATCGTAAAGTAGCTGTAAGATATTAAGTCCCGCATCGCGAGATAGCGGCCTGCGTGCAATGGTAGTACTTTCGTACCACCGAGGCACAACTATCGATAGATAGTTTTAGAGCTAGGCCCTTTGATAAAGCCCTTGCTGTGCCTGTGCCCCTGTCTGTTGCTCCAGTAGACATTCTGCTTTTCCCTGATCCAGAGTTTTAGTGCACTACGGGCCATACATTTGGGTATTCCCAGTACTCGCTCTGGACCAAGATAGGATGCCGATGATCCTTGCCTAGCTAGCTCATCAGCTTTTTCGTTTCCAGAATAATTTAATTCTGTTCCTTAAACAAGTTCACAGTTGATAGGTAGCCATCCTTTAAACGTACGACACCCTTAAAATTGACATGGGATTCCTACATGTCCTGAGGAACTGCATAACCCGGTATAAGCTTGTTTTTTATTACATCAGACAAAGAGTTCGTAAGGAAAGTTTTAATATATCAATCGGGAAAATAATTTAAACAAAAATACTATCAGCAATCTCTCAAATACATATTGGCGGATTATAGGAGAGGGGTTAAAAGTAAACTTTTACTTCTTGACTCTTCTCACTCCTAAGGCCCTTGTGGAAAATATGTATAAATTGGCTAGAGAAAATAATATTTTACAAGCATTTGATGACTCTTGCAGTGTTGTGTTGGTTATTTAGGTATTTCAATTAAGAACTATTCTATATATTAGGTGTTATGCTTTATAATTTATAACTATATTACAGATTACAAGGCATAAACAGGCTATTTCATATTGAATGCTAATTCTAAAAAAATATTTTCACGTAAAACATTTTTTTTATTATTTGATATTTTTCTTTTTCTGGCAATTAATTTTACAATCAACAGTTTTCAAAAATTTCTAGATACTTATATAAAATATTCCTTACTTTGAATAAAAAGATTAAGGAAGGAATATATCAACAAACTCAGTTGGAACGCGATGGGGAATATCATTGACTTAAATTCCGGTTATCAGTGCCGTTCTAATTTTATTAAAAATGCCTAAAAGTATTTTTTTGGTTTTATTTTTCGTTGTCTATAAATGTTATTAGTATTAATATTGTTAAACTAATATATTTCTAAAAAAAATAATTAAATTATAGTATTACTGAAGTACTGAGACTGACGTATCCTAAATATTTTTTGATTGAATTGATGTAAATAAAAGTAAAAATTCAGCAAAAGAATTATAATTAGTTAATTTCAAGTGAATTTCATAATTTACGGGTTTACTACACGTAACGTGTATTATACAGGGTGAGGTCTTAAATATGTGTAAATATTTTCAGGGCTGGTAGAACTCGATAAAAGAAACATATTTTTTGGAGCTTCATGATGTTGATTTTGTCTTTAATGCTTGAATACATGGGATAGCATTATACTCCTTTCTTAATATTTTTGTTCCTTTTTTTATTATCATTCACATAACCTTATTTTGTTAGCATTCAATGATGGAATACACTGGAAATAGGATGATTATGTGGCATCGTGTAATGTTTTAAATTTTTATTCATATTGTTTTTAAATTTACAAAAACTTAATTCTAATAATACCATAATTAATTATATAAATTATTATAATCATCTTGATATTGAAAAATATAATAATACTATAAATAGTTTTAGTGCAATATGCATGTACATATGGCATGTGAAATTTCAAATTTGTAAAAATAAGTTGTACAATACATAAAAAGTTTATTAAATTGTGTTGTTATATTTAATAATAATAAAAAACATATTTAGAGTACGGATTCCGTGGAAGACATCAATTCAGTAAACTCGGCGGACACCAACAATGTTGGATCCAACACGGACATTCCCGAAGATAACAAAATATCAGCAAATGACGAGAACTGGACCGATATTAACCTAAACGAAGAGGATGCCCGAACTGACTTAAAAGAAGAAGCTAGAAACGCCGAGAACATTTCACATTCTCACGGTCTAGACTTGGAAGGAAACATAGAAAATACCTCTCCAGACCGAGGTAAAGTATGAGCTTTAAGGTACATTCAGGCTGAGAGCGTCGAGCGTCGCGACCGCGTGTCGAAATGGAATCAATTCACTTAACTTAAATTAGACCGTTCAGGCAGACAGCGTCGCGTTTGGCGTTGCGCTAGCGTCGGGGTTCGAGTTCAATGGGGCGGACGCGTCGCAAACGCGACGCTCTCAGCCTGAAAGTACCTTTATAATAAAGAATAAATCAAATTCGACCTCCACCATTGGAATCTCAAAAACTATTGGAGATACACGGATGGCTAAATTAGGGCAAAGTTGTGCATTAATGTGCCTAATAATACAGGGTGGTCCGAACTGTATTCCGAGAGCAACATGAGAAATTTAATTTTGATGTCAATATGACTCCTACTTGTAGAGGGCGCCACCTACATATTTTTTAACTGGTTTGAAGAGTAATAACTTTTCGTCCGTACTTGTATAAAATTACTGAGTAGAAAAATATACATTTACGATGATTTTTACGCGAAAAAGTTCTCTTGGTAAAAATCGCTACGAATAATGGTTTTCGAGATATTTAGAATTGAAATGATCAACACCTGTCAACATTAACATATATTAAACATGTTGACTAAACAGTTATTACTCTGAAATCATAAATTTGAAATGTTTTTATACCAAAAATTCAACAGAACTGTTCTATCATCATTTTTTGCAGAAAAATTTATGATTAATTTAAAAAAAAATTCCTAAATTTATTATTTCAGTGAAATAACTATCTACTCAACGTGTTTATTTTTCGTCAATAATGACATGTATTGTCTATTTCCATGTTAATTATCTTAAGAACGGTTACTCGTAGCGATTTTTACAAAGAGATATTTTTTACGTAAAAAGTTACAGAGATGTATACTTTTCACTCGGTAGTTTTATACAGGTACCAACAAAAAGTTATTACGCTTCAAAACAGTTAAAACACAGGTAGGTGGCGCCCAAGAACAGTTAACCTAATAGGACTGTTTATTCAGCCAAAGGTGTCCGCCAGGTGCATGCGAAAACTACTCGCTTTGTGACGTCATTGTAGTCCTTGTCATGCTTATTTAGTCCTTATCCGGCAACCAATAATACACACACGTGCATTATTGGTTGCCGACTGCAAAACGTTCGTTATTTAGTTTATTTATTTAAACACCTTATATGTATGCAGTATAGAAAATTTACTTATAAATCGTTTTAAATACTCGGATAATGCATTTTTAAGAACAGCAGTTCCCAGCATCACCTTTTGCAAGCATTCTTTTTAGAATACTTCCATATTTTGCTTTAAAATAATTAATAAACAATATCGTGGGCACTTAGTAAGCACTTTGTCACAATCCACAACACAAAATGAACGTATTTAGACACTCTTTAGCTCTAAAAACTTTAAAGACACCCTTTTCACATTTAAAATTGACAAAATAATTAACTCAAAATTTCTCAGCTGTTATTTTTATAAGTTTACCATAGGCAACTAATAACACACTATCATGACAAGGACTACAATGACGTCACAACTGTCAGCTGAAGCGCGGGAAGAGGCGAACGTACGTCTTATGAGAATGAGCAATCCTATTAGTTTACCGTTCTTGGGTGGCGCCCTCTACTAGTAGGTGTCATATTGACACCGAAATCAAATTTCTCATGTCAAAAAACTACCAGACACCTTTTTTCATCCAAATATTGACGTTACTTCTGGAATAATTTAGAAAAAATCGAAATAAAGATGAAACTTCTACACCCTATATCTCTGAAAGTAAGCATTTTAGAACATACATTTATAAGAACTTTTTTACTTATTTTTATCTGCAGAATATTCTGCCGAAGTTTCCGGTAAAACACGAAAACAAGTGAAATCAAGGATGGACTTCCATTATTACTAAATTACGCTATCATGAAAATAAACCCTAGTTTTAGGCAATACGAAATTCGGCGGTTCTCTGTCAAAAGCAATATGGCGGCACAAAATTACTAAAAATTAAATACAATTATTTATTGTCCGCCTTTCGGATATTTTAATCTGATCTACCTATATAAAATTAATCAAAAATTAATAAAAAAATATATGTATGCACGATAATGTTACATAAACATTTTTAAAAATATATGATTACAGTTGAGGGTTGGAACCTTTGGTGTTACACAGCAAAATAAAAACACTAAATCACCACAATACACCAAAACACTTTTACTTTTACACTGGGCGCGCGTTTCGCTAACCATGTTAGCATCATCAGCAGATGAATATAAACTAAAGTACAGTCTACAAGTTGAGCGTTGATATACTCGCTCAGTGGGCACCGAGTGGGCGTGGCAAAATCTAGCCAACCGAGTCAGAGCCCACTGAGCGTAACAGTTTGATTTCTGCCACTAGAGTAGTAGGAACAAAGAACTTGAAGGAATTGGACCGTTGTCTCTGTTCATACTATCTTTACATTTATTAATTCTGATGCTTTCATATGCATCTAATTGCCTGTAATTTGAGACTTGTTTAATTAATTTTAAATTATTAAGATCTATACAATGTTCTTTATCAACAATATGTTCGGCAACGCAAGACTTATCCGGTCTACCATATCTTATCTGAGCTAAATGTTCTTTAAATCTAGTTAATATTGATCTTGTAGTTTGCCCAACATATTTCTGATTACAATCTTTACAAGAAATTTCTTAAATACCCGACCTTTCCAGTGGAGGTGTTTTATCCTTTGGATTGCCTAATAATTGTTGTAATTTATTATTAGCACTCTACACAAGTTTATAATTGACATTCTTAAAAATTCCTTCTAGACCACGGTTTAGACCATAATTTTATTTCTAAGTTGAATAATCGTTTTCCTTCCATTAAATTTACGCATAAAATTGAGAACAACGACAGATTACCATTTCTAGATGTTTTAGTTATTAGAAATATTAATAATTGCCTGGAATTTGATATCTATAGGAAAAATACGACCACACGCAGATATATTCCTAATGAATCACATCATAGTGTTGAACATAAAATGGCTAGTTTAAATTTCTTAGTTCATAGATTACTTAGTTTCCCACTTTCCAACGAAGGATATGAAATAGAAATAGATTACATTAGGAATGTAGCTGAGTGTAATGGATATTCTCCTTCACTAGTTGATAAATTAATTAGAAAACGTAGGTATAGGTTAACGATTTCTGAAAATTCGACTTTTCAAGTGGAGAAAGATACGTCTAAATATTTTTCGATACCGTTGGATAGAGAGTTATCCCGTGGTCTAAAAGGAATTTTTAAGAATGTCAATTATAAACTTGTGTATAGTGCTAATAATAAATTACAATAATTATTAGGTAATCCAAAGGATAAAACACCTCCACTGGAAAGGTCGGGTATTTACGAAATTTCTTGTAAAGATTGTAATCAGAAATATGTTGGGCAAACTACAAGATCAATATTAACTAGATTTAAAGAACATTTAGCTCAGATAAGATATGGTAGACCGGATAAATCATGCGTTGCCGAACATATTGTTGATAAAGAACATTGTATAGATCTTAATAATTTAAAATGAATTAAACAAGTCTCAAATTACAGGCAATTAGATGCATATGAAAGCATCAGAATTAATAAATGTAAAGATAGTATGAACAGAGACAACGGTCCAATTCCTTCAAGTTCTTTGTTCCTACTACTCTAGTGGCGGAAATCTAACTGTTACGCTCAGTGGGCTCTGACTCGGTTGGCTAGATTTTGCCACGCCCACTCTGTGCCCACTGAGCGAGTATATAAACGGTCAACTTGTAGATTGTACTTTAGTTTATAATCATCTGCTGATGATGCTAACATGGTTAGCGAAACGCGCGTCCAGTGTAAAAGTAAAAGTGTTTTGGTGTATTGTGGTGATTTAGTGTTTTTATTTTGCTTTTAAAAATATATGACGTAATTTTTTCTCAGAAAACTAAACGTTTAGAGATTTTGACATAACCAATTTACTTCTTTTTGTTTTCTAGCCTACTAGTATAATTTTTAGACCTTATAATCCTAGGCGGCAGCCTAACGTTATTTTTCCTCATAATATCTCCCTTTAGAGAGAAGATAAAAAGATGCGGCTGCGCTGATATTTTGGAAAATTTTTGCTCTATTTAACTGTGTAAAAAGAAACATAACCTGCTATTTAATTTTTTTATTCAAAATGCAATATTGTTATGATGTCAAACAGCGCCCTCTATCTACCACGAAAAAATGTATCGAAACAAAATGTATACTGAGAATTATTAAGAATGGCGAGGGTCGATTTTGATTACCCTGTATGGTGAATTAATAATGATTTGGGCTTTATTTTATAGGCGAAAAACATTTAGGCCAAATCTCAGTGGTGCGGGTCCCTGAAAACTTGCTACAAGCTCCCACCAGCCAAATCAGACCAGATGAACTTCCAGTCAGCAGTTTGGTTGATCACATTTCGATACCCACACCGTCCAGAGAAGCCTCCTTGACGCAGAAACTGGAAATGGCTCTTGGTTCAGTCTGTCCCTTGTTACGAGAAATCATGGTTGATTTTGCTCCGTTCTTGTCTAAAACCTTGGTTGGATCGCACGGTCAAGAACTTCTAATGGAAGGCAAAGGCTTGACCACGTTTAAAAACAGTACGTCGGTCGTAGAACTGGTTATGTTGCTATGCTCACAGGAATGGCAAAATTCTCTACAAAAACACGCAGGTTTAGCTTTTATCGAATTGATCAATGAAGGCAGATTGTTGTCTCACGCCATGAAAGATCACATCGTTCGAGTAGCGAACGAAGCCGAATTTATTCTAAACAGAATGAGAGCGGACGATGTTTTAAAACATGCTGATTTTGAGGTACGTTCTATATTACAGTACGTCTGCCCGTTCTGTAGCTACGGGGTATCCGTGAGAGGGGAGACGATATTCTCTCGATGTTTTTCGTAAAAAATTAGACGACGCGTCCCATCAATAAAAATTCGACAAATTTGCAAATAGCCAATAAAATGAGTGGGCGGAGCGATTTGCGGTGACGTACTCGTCAAGTCGACGTATAAAATATATTGCTGTTTATTTAAATAATTTTTGTCCGCATTCCTTTCATAGACACAGATCCAGCAGACGAACTGTAGTACGTCTGCTCGTTCTTTAGCTACGGGGTATCCGTGAGAGGGGAAACGATATTCTCTCGATGTTTTTCGTAAATAATTAGACGACGCGCCCCATCAATAAAAATTCGACAAATTTGCAAATAGTTAATAAAATGAGTGGGCGGAGCGATTTGCGGTGACGTACTCGTCAAGTCGACGTAGAAAATATATTGCTGTTTATTTAAATAATTTTTGTCCGCATTCCTTTCATAGACACAGATCCAGCAGACGTACTGTATTGCACTGGTGTGCAAACACCTATTTTTGAGCTCTGGCACCATTTTCGCTGAGTCTTATATCAAATGACGTCCTGACTCTAAATGTAGCTCCCGTTTTCCCCTACTTCTTTTCAGGGAAATCTTCTCTCCATTTTTACCATATTTTTATCACTTTTCTATAATAATCACAATTTTATAGACACGAATTTAATTTGGAGAGGTGAAAATAATTATTTTAGCTGTAAAAAGGAAAGATAATATTATGATCTCTACTTTTATTTATTTATTTTTTTATTTATTTATTCCAACGGTAAACTATTTTACATTAATAAATCCAAAAAGAAAAAGAAATTCGGCTTTTATGTATAAGCAGTTGAACCGTACTCCAAAATTTTGGTGTTGGCTATTTATACTTTGTAGTGTCATTCATCATACCCTATCTTTGCCATTCCATTCTCCCTAAAAACCCAGTATACTGGTACGATAATAAAAAAATAAACGATAATTTCTTTTAGTATGATATAACACTTAATAAGACACAATGCTATATAATAACAAACATATTATTTTATTAGACTCTTATACCCACCATGTAAGAGTTCTATAATATTCATATAACTAGTAGTCACAAGATCATATAATAGTTACTTAAACTGATTATAATCAGTCCAATGAAAAAATCCTTGAGAGTCATAGATGTGTCTGTTATTATAATTTCAAAGTAGTTTATTTTATTCTACAAAGAAATAAGTTGGTATGATTGGGACGCATAGCAGGAAATTAATATATGTATTTAAAATTTGAGTGATAAGTGATTACATCAAAATATTGTGAAAAAAAATGTGTAAAGGTTCATTCAATTGTACTACCTGTGTACATTCCGTTTCCATTTCATATCTATTCCATATCCGTTCCGTATTTTTTATTGTATTGACGCTATACGTAAACTTCCGTTCAGTATCAGTTCCATACTTTTTATTATAATTGTATAATAAAAAGTATGATGATATAAATTATTGAATTTATATCATTATGAAAGTTTTATTTTTAAACATTATATCTTTTGAAAAAGGTAATAGTTTTAATTAAGAGGTGAAAGAATAAATAAATATCAGCAAAATTTTAACACAGCTAGAAGTAGCAAAAAGAAGTTCTAAAAGGATTGAATTATTTTATAACAGTCGAATAGCGTTGTCTTAAGGACTGCTTGATTTTATTAAGCGTTTGGTTTCCACCATTCTGTTTTTTAATAAAAGTTGTCATATTAAACTATTTTCTAGTGGTTTTTACAACGTATCCTATAACGCATTAAAGGATAATTTCTTTTAGTATGATATAACACTTAATAAGACAATGCTATATAATAACAAACATATTATTTTATTAGACTCTTATACCCACCATGTAAGAGTTTTATAATATTCATATAACTAGTAGTCACAAGATCATATAATAGTTACTTAAACTTGTCTTATTAAAGTTGTATTACGTTGTATGATAGAATGTTTTATTGCGTTAAACTACGGTGCTGTATACAACACTAGTTATATAGCCTTATATGATAAAATTGTGATTAACAAAATAAATTCGCTGTAATATCTGCATTATAAAACTGGTAACGTATAATATAACAACATTTTGAATTGAATGGTATACCTAGTTATTTATTTTGTTATTGTTGTTGATGCAAAAGTAATATCTACGTACGAGTAAAATCAATCACAGCTATTATGAATTCTGGACAAAGTTGGAAAAAAGTTAACAAACGCAGTGGTAGTTATAAAGAGCATGTAAGAAAAAACTCATCGAAATTACGGCAAATAATCCCGAGAATTCCCTAGGTTCCCAAAAGCCAATATCTCTCGGGTTGTCTGGCTTCTTCAAAGCATTGTTGCCACGTTGATGTAAAAGTTTTACTGTAGTAATGTTTGTATTGTTTTATTGTTGTTTTTCCAAGTCCTTGGGTTGCCGCTCACTCGTCGGGCATGCATGAAATGCATTGCGTGCATGCATCCATGAAAACCTGATCATGTTTGTTAGTTTAAATACTAATCAAATGAGATTTGGCAACATCTATTTGTCACAAATCTCAATATGTCAAAAATAGTTCTATAGTGCCTGGAAATTCTGCGTAATGATAGATATTTATCCTATATCGTTTTATTTTACAACAAAGACTTATTTAAGGGATTCATTTATAATAAAATGGTTGTATTATAATTCGCCATGTTTAAGGCAGAATTTTTGTATGGCCTATGATGGCCGCCATTATATGAAGCAAAATTAAAAACATCAAAATAAATTGTAAAATGTTATTTTTGAGAACTATTTTAAGATAAGATTCTCACATACAGTAATAAACTGTTTAATTAAATTAAAAACAAGAATTTTTGAAAATTTTATTTTATTTTATTGTTTAAATTTATACGTAAACCTTAATCGAAATTAAAGCGCTTTAATTTTTTGCCAAATACATACCTATAATCTACCAGTAAAATTTTCGGCGCAACAAAAATTGTCCCTACTTTTCAAACCCTATTAATGATTTTTTATATTACATATTTGTTGTACCTTTTGGCTCTACCCGCCATTTTCACCGTCGAGTAAAGTCTCCTTTTTAACAATCCACATCCTCTAGATTCATTTTACGACACGCTTAAAATATAATTTGGTCCTAATATTCTTCAGTAAAAAATAAAATACACTTTTACCTCGCTAAATGATCAAATGTTTTTATTGTTCTGTTTATTAGATGTGACCACGTAATACACAATAAAACTAGTTTTATAATAGTTATATAAAGCTGTGTAAAATAGTTGCATAAGAGTTGTATACCCTTTTTATAGAACTTCTATACTACTAAACGGTTGTATAAAAATGGGCCTTTTTTGGTTGTAAAGCTATCATATTACGGTCTTATAGCACGTTATATGAATTGAGGTATCCTATAAAACTGATCACATAGCTGTTTATACAGCCTTTATAAAATAAAATTTGCTACTTGGGCTGGTACAAATGTAACAACTTGACAACGCTGTTCCGATAGGCTTCAGTCCGTCCACCAAAAAAGATGTATGGAAGGAGAGGTCATGGAACGGACGGGAAACGGAACGGATAGTGTGCATTGTCCTATTCATTTACATGACATAATATTTTATGTAAACGAAAGGGAAAGGGAAGGGAGCTGATATGGAAAGTATAATGAGAATCTACCTTAAAACTGAAAAAATCGAATCGAGTTATTTTATTACAAAAATAATTACCTAGAAAAAACCATGTAACAACAATATAGAAGCCAAAATAATCCATTTCATCCCACGAAACTATCTATCGAAAAACAGTAAAAATAGGTAGTGTCATGGAGGAGGAAAAAGGAGTTAATATTTGGGAGTCAGGGCTTCAATTTCGGCCAGTTCTTGCCGATTCTTATGCAGGCCAGTATCATTAATTATTATTTGCCTAACTTATAATGTTTTATTGTTTAGACTCAATGTGCTCAAACTCTAATGGACAGAAAGGAAGAGGAAAGAATGTGCGATCATTTAATTACATCGGCCAGAAGAAGAGATAACGTTACTGCTAGTAAATTGCTAGAAAAAGTGAGAAATATCATGGCAAACAAGCACGGCGCTTGGGGCTCTGTAGATATTAACGAGTACAGGTATTTGTTAAAATACAAGAAAATCAATAAATGTTGGCGTGCATTTTTTTACAAGTGTCAAATGAAATTCGTAATTTTGTCATTAATTTTTCACTTCAATTTTAGAAACAATATTGTTTTTTTTTTATGATTATTACAAACGCAAAACAAATTCTAATTAAATAAAGTTATTATATAGCAAGTTGTCTACAGTACGTCTGTCCGTTCTATAGCTACGGGGTATCCGTGAGTGGGGAAACGATATTCTCTCGATGTTTTTCGTAAAAAATTAGACGACGCGTCTCATCAATAAAAATTCGACAAATTTGCAAGTAGTAAGTATAAAATGAGTGGGCGGAGCGATTTGCGGTGACGTACTCGTCAAGACGACGAATAAAATATATTGTTGTTAATTTAAATGTTTTTTGTCCGCATTCCTTTCATAGACACAGATCACAGATTAGGTATCCTATAAGTATACAGATAAAAATCTTGTCCCTAATTCGTGGTACGAAAATTGTTTTTTATGACGATGTGCAAACGAGTCAAATTTCCTGTGCCCAAAAATAAACTCGCGTAAAATAACAATAAACAGCGTAATAGAGAGATATCGCTAAACCGAATAGCGTGCATGGACGTTAATAAGGCCAGGTGTTATTTCCTTTACGTGAGGTGGTATTAACTCTCTTCATTTATAGTTATCGGATTGGAAAGAATTCTGATCGCGTCGCGTCCGCTATTTAAACTTAACCTAACTTTGAATTTAAAACTTTGAAATTGTTTTGTTTACTAGGTATTTTAAAACTAAAGGGCTAAAGTGGTTATTTTCAGTGCTTTATTGTTCAACGTCTGCCAGTGGGTTTAGGGCAACAAGCAACAAATTCTCTTAGAAGGGCTAAGTCGTCATCTGCTGTAAACCTAAGACTCTTTATAGGTTCTTTAGTATTGGAAGAGGTTGAATCCATATTTTGGGCCATATTTATTTAATTAAAACTAATCGCAGCTACTTAAATATCAAATTACCTAATAAAATTAAAGCAATAATTCAAACATAACCTAAAATAAAAGATCTCGCCGGCCGGCTCCGGTTGTCAAATACCCGCACATGCCCATTTAAGCAATTTTTAAACGTTATCAGAGGTTATTTAGAAAGAGCGCTTGGTGTAATTGATCCGCAAATTACGTCAGGCGGTAACGTTATTAGCGGGTGTTGCGTTAAAAATTGACTCGCGCCTTTGAATAAGACTCGCGCATATCGTAACCATGATAAGGTACGCGTAAATACTGGATGACGCTATTCGGTTTTCCGATATCTCTCTAATAACTGTGCCGGTCAGGCGCTGTGCACAATTTTAGAGGCCATAAGTGGGCGTGATATGTGCGCAAACTAGTCACTTAACTAGTGCCCGATTCCGAAAATTGGAACCACGAAAAACATTAAAGAAAAAACAAAGATTATAATCTGTATAATCTGTGCACAGATCCAGCAGACGTACTGTAAGAGAAAACTGAGAAATGCAAAGTTCTAATTGGTTAATAGTTGTCTTCACTTTTTGTGATATTCTACTCACAGTCCTTAAACTCAGATTTGCAAAGAAAAACCTCCTGACAACCGGCAACATATGCCTTGACTACCAACATCAAGCCTTTCTTATTCGTTTACTTGGTGCGACGGAGTGCTGTCTTTTTTTATATAGACTATGAGAAAAAGGAAAAAGTGTGCTCTAAGTTTCAGACTAATTTTTATTTATTAGAAAATGTTTGGTAATAGGAGGGTAATAGTTTCTACGTCTTTGAAGATGTGCACGTCAACTGTTATTGATTTATTCTCTATACGTCTCTTATTCCTTAAATATCATGTTGATTTATACAGATTAAGTGAATTTTGGAAACTGGATGCATGGGAAGACGACGCGAGAAGAAGAAAACGTTTCGTTCATAATCCACTGGGTTCCAGTCATCCCGAAGCTAGCTTAAAAGCGGCCATTGAACATGGTGCCCCGGAAGATGCCATTTTACAAGTAAACTAAGCGATATTCGAATATTTTTGGAATAAATTAATGTTTTATTTATAGGCAAGAGAAGAATTTCATGCTCATTTGGCTGCGACAAGAAATCAGGGTCAATGCAGTGAACTGGTTGATGACAGTGAATTATTGACAGATGACAGAGATCTAGATAATGACCATAATGGTAAGAATTGTATTTTTTATGGAGGAAATATCAGCTTATAATAATATTTATTTATTATATAAGTATTTTAAGGAGCATTTTCTCCGAGCAAGAATTTTCTTAAGCGGATAAAATGCAACTAAAACGAATATAATACTAGAATATATATAATTTTATCCATAAACACATGTATAAAATTAATCTACTACCTATGCTTATTGATTTATTGATTTATTGGTTTATTGATTTATTGATTTATTGATTTATTGATTTATTGATTTATTGATTTATTGATTTATTGATTTATTGATTTATTGATTTATTGATTTATTGATTTATTGATTTATTGATTTATTGATTTATTGATTTATTGATTTATTGATTTATTGATTTTATTGATTTATTGATTTATTGATTTATTGATTTATTGATTTATTGATTTATTGATTTATTGATTTATTGATTTATTGATTTATTGATTTATTGATTTATTGATTTATTGATTTATTGATTTATTGATTTATTGATTTACTGATTTACTGATTTATCGATTTATGGATTTGTCGATTTATGACTGATTGACTGACTGATTTTAACTAATGTCTTTTAAATGATTCTTTACGCAAATTTTTATGTGTATTGATTTATTGATTTATCGATTTATTGATTTATCGATTTATCGATTTATCGATTTATCGATTTATTGATTTATTGATTTATTGTTTTACTGATTTATCGATTTATCGATTTGTCGATATATGACTGATTGACTGATTTTAACTAATGTCTTTTAAATGATTCTTTACGCAAATTTTTTTGTGTATTGATTTATCGATTTATTGATTTATTGATTTAATGATTTATTGATTTATTGATTTATTGATTTATTGATTTATTGATTTATTGATTTATTGATTTATTGATTTATTGATTTATTGATTTATTGATTTATTGATTTATTGATTTATTGATTTATTGATTTATTGATTTATTGATTTATTGATTTATTGATTTATTGATTTATTGTTTTATTGATTTATTGATTTATTGATTTATTGATTTATTGATTTATTGATTTATCGATTTATTGATTTATTGATTTATCGATTTATCGATTTATTGATTTATTGATTTACTGAGTTACTGATTTATCGATTTATTGATTTACTGATTTATCGATTTATCGATTTGTCGATTTATGACTGATTGACTGATTTTAACTAATGTCTTTTAAATGATTCTTTACGCAAATTTTTTTGTGTATTAATTTATTGATTTATTGATTTATTGATTTATTGATTTATTGATTTATTGATTTATTGATTTATTGATTTATTGATTTACTGATTTATCGATTTATTGATTCGTCGATTTATGACTGATTGACTGACTGATTTTAACTAATGTCTTTTAAATGATTCTTAACGCAAATTTTTATGTGTATTGATTTATTGATTTATCGATTTATTGATTTATTGATTTATTGATTTATTGATTTATTGATTTATTGATTTATTGATTTATTGATTTATTGATTTATTGATTTATTGATTTATTGATTTATTGATTTATTGATTTATTGATTTATTGATTTATTGATTTATTGATTTATTGATTTATTGATTTATTGATTTATTGATTTATTGATTTATTGATTTATTGATTTATTGATTTATTGATTTATTGATTTATTGATTTATTGATTTATTGATTTATTGATTTATTGATTTATTGATTTATTGATTTATTGATTTATTGATTTATTGATTTATTGATTTATTGATTTATTGATTTATTGATTTATTGATTTATTGATTTATTGATTTATCGATTTATCGATTTATTGATTTATTGATTTACTGAGTTACTGAGTTACTGATTTATCGATTTGTCGATTTATGACTGATTGACTGACTGATTTTAACTAATGTCTTTTAAATGATTCTTTACGCAAATTTTTATGTGTATTGATTTATCGATTTATCGATTTATCGATTTATTGATTTATTGATTTATCGATTTATTGACTTATTGATTTATTGATTTATTGATTTATTGATTTATTGATTTATTGATTTATTGATTTATTGATTTATTGATTTATTGATTTATTGATTTATTGATTTATTGATTTATTGATTTATCGATTTATCGATTTATTGATTTATTGATTTACCGAGTTACTGAGTTACTGATTTATCGATTTGTCGATTTATGACTGATTGACTGATTTTAACTAATGTCTTTTAAATGATTCTTTACGCAAATTTTTATGTGTATTGATTTATTGATTTATCGATTTATCGATTTATCGATTTATCGATTTATCGATTTATCGATTTATTGATTTATTGATTTATTGATTTACTGAGTTACTGATTTACCGATTTATGACTGATTGACTGACTGATTTTAACTAATGTCTTTTAAATGATTCTTTACGCAAATTTTTATGTGTATTGATTTATTGATTTATTGATTTATTGATTTATTGATTTATCGATTTATCGATTTATCGATTTATCGATTTATCGATTTATCGATTTATCGATTTGTCGATTTATGACTGATTTTAACTAATGTCTTTTAAATGATTCTTTACGCAAATTTTTATGTGTATTGATTTATTGATTTATTGATTAATTGATTTATTGATTTATTGATTTATTGATTTATTGATTTATTGATTTATTGATTTATTGATTTATTGATTTATTGATTTATTGATTTATTGATTTATTGATTTATTGATTTATTGATTTATTGATTTATTGATTTATTGATTTATTGATTTATTGATTTATTGATTTATTGATTTATTGATTTATTGATTTATTGATTTATTGATTTACTGATTTACTGATTTACTGATTTATCGATTTATCAATTTGTCGATTTATGACTGATTGACTGATTTTAACTAATGTCTTTTAAATGATTCTTTACGCAAATTTTTATGTGTATTGATTTATCGATTTATCGATTTATCGATTTATTGATTTATTGATTTATCGATTTATCGATTTATCGATTTATCGATTTATCGATTTATCGATTTATCGATTTATTGATTTATTGATTTATTGATTTATCGATTTGTCGATTTATGACTGATTGACTGATTTTAACTAATGTCTTTTAAATGATTCTTTACGCAAATTTTTATGTGTATTGATTTATTGATTTATCGATTTATCGATTTATCGATTTATCGATTTATCGATTTATTGATTTATTGATTTACTGAGTTACTGATTTATCGATTTATGACTGATTGACTGACTGATTTTAACTAATGTCTTTTAAATGATTCTTTACGCAAATTTTTATGTGTATTGATTTATTGATTTATTGAATTATTGATTTTTTGATTTATTGATTTATTGATTTATTGATTTATTGATTTATTGATTTATTGATTTATTGATTTATTGATTTATTGATTTATTGATTTATTGATTTATTGATTTATTGATTTATTGATTTATTGATTTATTGATTTATTGATTTATTGATTTATTGATTTATTGATTTATTGATTTATTGATTTATTGATTTATTGATTTATTGATTTATTGATTTATTGATTTATTGATTTATTGATTTATTGATTTATTGATTTATTGATTTATTGACTTATCGAATTATTGATTTATCGATTTATCAATTTATTATTTATTGATTTATCGATTTATCGTTTTATCGATTTATGACTGTTTGACTGACTGATTTTATCAATTTATTTGTATATTTATCGCTCTTATCGATTTATGACTGTTTGACTGACTGGGATTTCTTTACGCAAATTTTTTGTGTATTGATTTATTGATTTATTGATTTATTGATTTATTGATTTATTGATTTATTGATTTATTGATTTATTGATTTATTGATTTATTGATTTATTGATTTATTGATTTATTGATTTATTGATTTATTGATTTATTGATTTATTGATTTATTGATTTATTGATTTATTGATTTATTGATTTATTGATTTATCGATTTGTCGATTTATGACTGATTGACTGAGTGATTTTAACTAATGTCTTTTAAATGATTCTTTACGCAAATTTTTATGTGTATTGATTTATTGATTTATTGAATTATTGATTTTTTGATTTTTTGATTTATTGATTTATTGATTTATTGATTTATTGATTTATTGATTTATTGATTTATTGATTTATTGACTTATCGAATTATTGATTTATTGATTTATCGATTTATCGATTTATCAATTTATTATTTATTGATTTATTGATTTATCGATTTATCGATTTATCGATTTATGACTGACTGACTGATTTTAACTAATGTCTTTTAAATGATTCTTTACGCAAATTTTTATGAGTATTGATTTATTGATTTATCGATTTATCGATTTATCGATTTATTGATTTATTGATTTATTGATTTATTGATTTATTGATTTATTGATTTATTGATTTATTGATTTATTGATTTATTGATTTATTGATTTATTGATTTATTGATTTATTGATTTATTGATTTATTGATTTATTGATTTATCGATTTATCGATTTGTCGATTTATGACTGTTTGACTGACTGATTTTAACTAATGTCTCTTAAATGATTCTATACGCAAATTTTTATGTGTTGATTTATAGATTTATAGATTTATTGATTTATTGATTTATTGATTTATTGATTTATTGATTTATTGATTTATTGATTTATTGATTTATTGATTTATTGATTTATTGATTTATTGATTTATTGATTTATTGATTTATTGATTTATTGATTTATTGATTTATTGATTTATCGATTTATCGATTTATCGATTTATCGATTTACTGATTTACTGAGTTACTGATTTATCGATTTATGACTGATTGACTGACTGATTTTAACTAATGCCTTTTAAATGATTCTTTACGCAAATTTTTATGAGTATTGATTTATTGATTTATCGATTTATCGATTTATCGATTTATCGATTTATCGATTTATGGATTTATGGATTTATGGATTTATTGATTTATTGATTTATTG